ACTCACTACTCAAAGCAAAAACTGACTATAACATTTTGTTTGGTATAGTCAACAGGTAATTTCAATCATTATTAACTATATATCTCGGCCTATTTAGTTCGTCATTTCATGATATGAACTATTTAATAACCCCTTTATTCATTTTCTTTGTCGGCGGGCAGGGCTTGGGCAAGGTTCATCAGCGTCACGGAAGGCGAATGGAAAAAAAAGCTTAAATGGTTTCGACCCAAGGTAAGTAATTAAGTAGTACTAGCTAGCTAGCTAGCTGCCATCTCTTTAATTATCATGCTTGATTAATTATTATCTGATCAAATTTCATTCTCGTAAAGGCCCTGAAGCAGGCGCAGTCTGTGTGCATTCTGCGTTTGCGAGAACATTCGCATGATGGCGTCCGAAAGGAGCAGATCTCAAAGACAGGAATGGGTACGCTTGTCAGAATACTATTCACAATTTTTACACCATTATCGATATCTAGTCACACAACTAATACACATGCATATTGATCTCCTTCTTAACAGTTCAAAGAGGTGCGGGAGAAGCTCCTAGAAACGGAGCGCGTAGAAGCACTTCAAGAGGAAATAGCGGGATTTTTGCTCGACCAGGTCATAAATCCGAAGGGAGAATACTATTACCCGCTACCGCCCCCATGAAAACCACTTCCAATTGTCATCGTGCTCCGAAGGCACCAATTAGGCTAATGCCACTGGCTCCGAAGGCAACATGCATATGTAGGAGAAATTGTATATAGCTATACATGTGTGTATGTGTGAATTAATTAATATGGTGGTTTGTGAGACATTGATGATATATATATATATATATATATGCATGATTGGTTCTACTAGAAATTCTATTTATATATATATATATGCATAACGTGTACAATGTGTAGTATCGTAAAATACCGGCAAACGAAAAAGAATTAAAATGGAAACACAAAATTAAATGAAAAAGAAATCATAAAACTAAGAAAACCCCAAACCTTATAATACCGGTTGGTCTTACCAACCGATACTAAAGGGCTCCAGGCCCCCGGAGCTGGCTCGTGCCACGTGGTTGCCCTTTAGCACCAGTTCGTGCTGAACCAGTACTAAAGGGGGGGGCCTTTAGTGCCCACACTTTAGTGCCGGTTATGGAACCGGCACTAAAGGGCCTTACGAACCGATGCTATTGCCCGGTTCTGCACTAGTGGTATATGCTCTCGAGATAGAGGTAGCAAAACACCTCCCTTGTAATCGAGATCATCATCATCATCAATATCAATCAAGCAGGACGTAGGCTTTTACCTCCACCATGAGGGGCCGAACCTGGGTAAAATCCGCGTCTCTCGATTCCGACCAACCCCGTTCAAGCGGTCACCTAGCTGCGATGGCCTCACGACTAAGTCCTCAAACTAGGATATCAGCCGTGACAAAATCACGACAGGTTGGGTCAAAACTTTGTGTGCTTTGTGGTAAAGAGGAAACAATAGATCATTTGTTCTTTACTTGTACAACTGCCTCTTTAATGTGGAGCTTATTGAAATGTGCTTTCAATTTGAAAAAAACTCCTGTAAATGTTGAGGAATGCTTTGGGGGATGGCTTAAGACCTTTATTAAACAAGAAAGGAAAATTGTTCTGGTAGGACTATCGGCTATGTTGTGGTCAATTTGGAAGATCTGAAATGCAAAAATTATACTGATCCTATGGTTTTAGTTAGAATGATGACACACTGGATCATGGCTTGGTCTATTTTGCAGATAAAGGACCTAAACAAAAAGGGACTGGAGCTGGGATCAAAGCTACTCGAGAAGGTAGCAAGTGAAGTTTACAAAGCAACGTGCCTAGACTGGGGCTCTGAAGCTTTGGAGTTTGACTTCACGCTCTATTGCCTTGCTGTTCCTTTTGCTTTTTTATGCTATCTTTGGTCGTGTTGAATTTATACTCTTATGCTTAAACCTGTTCCAGGTTGTATGTGGCCTGAGGGCCTGGATCTGGATTATGTTATGTTCTGCTGGGTAGATGGGCTTCCTACCGTTCTGGTTTATAGTTTCTAGTATTTCTAGTTTCTAGTTTCGGTCTTAGTGGTAACAGGTCTTTTGTTGTTGTCTTCTATCAAAAACGGGTGCTTGTAGCTTGTTGTTGGTTTCCCTTAATGGAAATCAGAAGGGGAAACCCTTCTTTGTAAAAAAAAAAAAGCAAGCTAGTACAGTCGCATAACACAAATAGACAATATTTTAGGCAAATTGAGGGCCGATTATTTCAGCCGCATGGATGATAATCAAGGTCGAAGACCATGGCACGACAATGTACGGCGTACCATGGTGGCAATTTATCTGTCAAGCTGCCCATAATTGAAGAAGATGAGCAAGTTGGTCACAGAGGTGGTGATGATCTGCTCGTATGCAGCCTTTCCTAAGTTGGTGCGGCCGTGCCGTGCTAGTTCGCTCCGCCCATATGACGGGTTGGTAAAGAAGGGAGGGGGATGGGGTCGCGGAGGAAGAGGCTCATGCGCGTAGTGGTGGAGGCTATATATATATATATATATATATATATATATATATATATATATATATATAGGACTCCTCTTCTGTACTCTTGGGAGTATGTACTCCCATCCTCGATATACCTCATATACGCATTAATTATAACTTTTTATTATTCTCAATATACTTCATTAAATATTCTAAGATACCCCAATATAAGTTTAGTTCAAAAAATATCATCTGCGACGTACTTTTTATAATATACCTTTTCACGTACAAACACATCAATATATACGTAAATATTTAAAAATACATAGACTCACATGAATTTTTTCATAAAACTCATTTTAAGATATCTAATAATTACTAATGAAGTATATTAAAAATAATAATAAGATATAAAAAATTTATCTACGTGGTATATGAGGAGCGGGAGTACGTACTCCCAGGAGTACACAACCATTTTTCTATATATATATATATATATATATCTTCAGGACGTTGGATCTTTCAGAATCGATGATCAATATTCATTATCCGATACTGTAAAAGAGGTTTCGGGTCGTCTTTCTGGTTTATTTTCATGGAGCGTCTGGTTTCCTTTTGTTTCTTACACGTGTGTATCAAGTGTGTCTGGATAGGTGCTGCATGTTTCTCAAAACAAAGTTGGTGTTGAAAACTTTCGGACTTACCTATCAGGGTTCCTATTCGGAATTCATGGCTTCCTTTCCCGGTATTGCAGACGACGGTGAAGCAGTGAAGATCTTGGCGTCCAAGTGGTCTCATCTCGGATGACGGCAAGGCTCAATCCATGCAGGTGTTGTCAAGGACTCGATTGCGTTTTTCTTTCTCTGTTGAGGGTCCTTCCTACATTACTCAGGGACAACTTCGTAATTTCTTAGTTACTTTGGTTCCCGTTGTAATCTGCTCTGTACCGACGGGTTATGCTTAATGCAATAATGCAGTTCCCGGGCCTTCCAGGCCCTCCTTGTTCAAAAAATAATAATGATTAGTGCAAAACACGTGGTTCGTAGAAACAAAGCTTATAAATAATTTGGATTGCTTACCGCATGTGTCACGTCGTTTCGTGAAAACAAAGTTGATGATGAAGATAAAGTCCCCTCATGTTGTGGGGTCTTAATTCAGTTTAAAAAAAAGTTGTGGTCTTAAATGATTACTACTATAAAAATATAGCTCAAAGAACCTACCCACTGTGCCACCTTCCACTATAATCTCCTCGGTCCCCAGCCCCAGCGTCCATGGCGACGGCCTTCTCTGTCACCACCACGTCCCTGAGCGCCGTCGTCGCCGCCTTCCCGGCCCGGCGCCCGAATCCATTCCTCGTGCTCCTCTCCTCGGCGGCGCGCCCCCATCTTCGTCTTGGCGCCGCCCGCCCAACGCGCCTCCCGGTCCCACTCGCCGCCTCCTTCTCCGAGGTGAGCATATGCAGCAAATCGCCGATCGAGTTCCTTACTTACGTGCGTATGCCTCAACTGAGATTCGCTCGCACGCCGGCATGCACAACTGAAACTGGCACCCGATCCGGCCGATCGCCGTAGCAGCTGCGTCCGGCCGTTTCATACGTGAATGCCTGATTGGTTCGAGTGTATGTGATGTGCTTGCGTTGTTGTGCGGAGAAAGTTCTTGATTACCAGATTTGTGTCTTCAGTTTATGTTGTTGAGAGAGAAATTCCGTGTAGCATGTTCAGAAAACTTTAATTTGGGATAGAAAAGGGTCCTACGTACTGTGCACAGATCTGGCTAGACACAACTCGATGCGCTGCTGCATCTGCTTAATCATACTCCTACACTCTGTATAGGAATATCACAAGTGCGATTTTATTGGGAAAACGATAATCCATATATATGTATATATCCACATTAGCTTCAAAAAATCGTCTTTAAACCACACTTGTATTTTTTTAGCCAATAAACCACACTTGCATTAGTATTTGAAACATATAAATCTTTCATCTTATTCTAAAATGCAATCTTCATCTAGGATCCACGTGGCTATGGGTTGGAAAGGCCTCCCCATGATGTTGGGTCTTCTTCATTCCGCATGTACGTGGGCAACCTGTCATGGCGCCTAGATGACTCCAGGTTGGCACAACTATTCAGCGAGCACGGCACCGTGGTCTTCGCTAAGATCATGCGTGACTTCCAAACCGGGCGCTCAAAGGGATTCGGCTTTGTAGCAATGGCATCGCAGGAGGAACGCGAGGAGGCCATCGCGGCCCTCAACGGGCAGGTGAGTGTGTGTGTAGCCGATTTCTCTCTCATTTACATATAGTGCCATGCAAGATATATAGCCAATGTCACGGTGACTCTCGGATGGTAATCTGAACGCTGCAGATATTGGAGGGGCTTGCCCTACGAGTGAGTGCCGCGGAGGAGCCAGACGTGACTGTAAGCAAGGCGGCTCCAGGAGGCGCCCGGGTGGAAAGCCCTCCGCCCCGTCATGTTGCTGAGCCTTCATTTCGGTTGCACGTGAGCAACCTGTCGTCGAGAGTGGATGACTCTAGGCTGGCACAAATGTTCAGCCAGCACGGCAAAGTGGCCTATACTAAGGTCATCCGTGATTTCCGTAGCGGGCGCTCGAAGGGATTCGGTTTCGTAGAGATGTCCTCGCGGGGGGAAATGGACAACGCCATCGCAGCCCTCCATGGACAGGTTCGTTGGTAGTCGATCTCTTTGTCATTTACATAACGAATAGTAATAACCAATGTCACAACGAGCGAGTCTCGGATTGCTATCTGAATTCTGCAGAGCTTGGAGGGGCGTGCCATACGAGTGAGTGCCATGGAGGTGCCAGGCATGGCCGTAAGCAAGGCGGCTCCAGGGGTAGAAAGTCCTCCTCCCCGTCATGTTGTTGGGCCTTCGTTCCGGTTGCACGTGAACAACCTGTCGTTGAACGTGGACGACTCCAGGCTTGCTCAGATGTTCAGCCAGCACGGCAAAGTGACCTATGCTAAGGTTATTTGTGATATCCATAGCGAGCACTCGAAGGGATTCGGTTTTGTAGAGATGGCATCGCAGGAGGATATGGACAATGCCATCACAGCTCTCCACGGACAGGTTCGTTGGTAGTTGATATCTTTGTCATTTACATAACGAATAGTAATAACCAATGAACCAATGTCACGACGAGCGAGTCTCGGATTGCTATCTGAATTCTCCAGAGCTTGGAGGGGCATGTCATACGAGTGAGTGCCGCGGAGGAGCAGTCGTCATCATCAAGGATCAAATGAAGATGCATTTGGTGGTGGATTGCACCAAAGCTTTCTGCACAATAATCATGATACCGGTTTAGACTTTAGACCCTCCATCATCCTCCCATCTCGGAACATTTCAGTTGTGACATATAGTACCTTGCACGTACGTACGGCAATGTCTATTATACATGTTATGTATTCATCAACTAAACACATGAATGCTACGCCCATCCATCTTGTTGAAAGGAAACTGATGAAGGACATTTTATTGTTGGTTCTGAAGTTTGATTATTACTATTATTATTATTATTATTATTATTATTATTATTATTATTATTATTATTATTATTATTATTATTTTGCAATTCCGTGCTTCATACTCATATCAAAAGGGCATGTATGTTGCAATGAAGCATTTACCGTGAAAGAGGCAATTAAGGAAGGAAAATGACCTACCATGTGCTGGGCATTAGTATCAGATCCGACAACCTGCATGCTTTCAATCCAATGGCCTTGCACTAGTCTGATGAAGCAAGGGATCGGTAGTCTGATCCCAAGCGGCTCTCATTTACATTTAGATAAGGCTCGCTATCTGTGGTTGTTAGAGCATCTACAGCCGGGCATATCAAACCCGCCGCATACGTCCGGGCGGGCCGCTCATTCACTGTTCGGTCGCAAAATTTTGGCCTAGACGGGCGTCTCAAACGAGTATCAAATGCTCGGACTGACCGACACCCCTCATATCCAGCCCAAATATAGGTGGATATGGGGGCGTCCGGGCACGCCCGTCACGTCGAACCTGGCCCACTCGACCCGGCATATATTACTCCCCATCCGCTCGCCGGACCAAACCCTAGTCGGCTCGATGGACGTCGGCGAGGCGGAGTCACATTCTCCGGCGCCCCGTGCAGTGCACCAGTCCGGGCGCCGCAACATCATCGTGGTAGATGTCACTGGCTCGTCCCAGGACGGATCCATCATCGATCTGACGTCCACTGGCACTCAAAGGGTTCCGGGCTCCGACGAGAAAGAGTAAGGCATGGGAGAAGGCGGTGCCTTGAGTACAGTAAGACGGCTTGTGTCCCATGCCCTGCTCTACCTTGCCGGCGACCGAACCAACACTCTAAGGAGCGCAGTCGGCCACCAGACATGGCCACGGCAGAACCCGACGAAGCTCCGCTCAAAGATCTGTGTTTTTTTGTGGCCGGTGTCTTCTGATCTGTATTAACGGTTTCTTAGCCGCTGCCCGCTGTTTCTACAAGATCCCGGGCTTGTTTGCTCCACCAAGAAGGCATTGAGTTTTGCTCATGGCATTTCATCGATGGATGCAGGAGAAAGAATATTTCGACACCCATAAAATTTTGGATGTAATTCCTTTTCTACACGGACGTGTGTGTAATGACTCGTGATACTCCAGTGTCCACAGTTCCAGACCGACGTGCATCGGCGTGTCGGTGCGTGAAGGCGTGCAGTGTTCGATCGTCTCGGAATAAGGCGTGCTCTGTCGAGGGTAATGAATATGTGTGGTTGACAAAACATGATGAGACATGATCACATGAGCAAACTTTCTGACTACTCGATCGATGTTGTCAACATAGAGTTGTCTCCCGCTCGTGGAAATCTACAAGCCCTCGAAGAAACGTGACAGGATATACAAGAGTCGCACCAGAAAACGCAACATGGCGATCCCGAATAGAGCCTCACGATCAAAGCTTAAGCATACATATGCCAACCCCAACGTCACGATACTGATCTCAGAAATTATGGTGAGAAGTCGCCGCCAACCAGAAAAGATACAAGATCGCCAACGGCTCCACGTCGACGAGATGAGCTGTCGAAGTTGAAAACGCCAAGCAACACACGGAGCCGCCCGAAATAAACCAGGCAACGCCAGGAGATTCTGTGAAGGATTGCCATTGCGTGTACCACGGGACTCAATCAGGAATTCCGGGTGCACGAAAAGTGGCCGCCTGGCTGTTCCGTCTGCTAGCCGCATATGGCCGGCCGGCCCCTAGCTTAGCCTGCATGCATGTCACTGGATCGGGAGAAACAGATGGTGCTCGGCGTGGCCCATGCAATGCATGCGTTTCTTCTTCGGCGCCCTTATTTTGCCCTTTCTCTCTTTTGTCCTCACGTGTACCTTTCTGGTGTAAGCAAAGTTGAAGGGGCCTACGTGTACGTGTTTCCCCTGAATACTGCCCCAAACAGGTGACAGCTCACAAAGGTAGTAAGCCAACTCCACCGCACGACCCCAAACGGACGTTCGTTTTGGCCGAATTCTGTTCGTTTGGATAGGGCAAAGGAGTTGTGTCCGGACCATTTTTCGGATGCGGTGGCCGTGCGCCCAACACGTGGACGCATCCCGGCCGCTTCCTGTCCGCGTACATTTTCTTTGCAAGCCCATAATTTCTTTTCATCATTGATTTTTGATAGATGGAAATACATCACCATATTTTGACTAGAAAACGAAGACCAAAGAAAACAAGAACCACAAGAATACATTTCAGAAGATATCCAACTTTCATAACTGCTCCTGTAAGTTGGATTAGTGTCTTCTCGATGCACTTATTGTTGATCTGTGGAGGCTCGATCTTGTGTGCTTCTTTTTTCGAGTGTAAAGAAGTCGATGTTGCTTCCTCACACCTAGTCTCGTGTCTAGTGTCTATTCTAGCATCAAGTGCACTAGTCTCATCTCTAGCTTCTATGCTAGCTATACACGAACATCTACTAAATTGCGCGCTATCAATATATCGATGTACTCTTCTTTCCAAAACCAAAACTTGCATCGACTCTACACGATAAAATGCTAGGTTAGCACAAGTAGTCAAATCCGAGAGCACAACTGAAGCTAAAGTAGCACATACCCCGTCGTTTAAGCACTTGATGAACACCCATCCGGGATGTTCCGGCGTTGTAGACACGCGGCACACGACCTTCTTTGGGCAGTCGTCGCACTTAATGAGTGACAACGGTGCGCCGACGAGCTTTTGGGCTAGCACCGAGCCCGGCCGACCGCCATTCGTGTATCTGCCGCCGGACCACCGACGGTGTAGATTCGAGCGGCTAGAGGAGGAGCCACTGCCTGCATGCGGCCTTGCGGCCTTGTCGGGGCCTTCCGGCCCGGTGCTGTCCATGGCGTGGTGCGGCCTCCCACAGTCGGGCGAGCTCAAGACCGACCGGATCCGCTCCAAATCCGGCCGCAGGGAGCGCTAATCAGATGGCCGTGGTTGGGTAGCTCAGGGGCGTCTAGGGAAAGGGGGCTGAGCGAGCGCACGTCCGAGCTGCACAGCTGCAATGGCAGCGGCGACGGCGGCGACGGCAGGGGGCGGAGTGGAGAAGAGCGGACTGGGTGCGGCTGGAGGGGGGAGGGGGCGGATAGAAAAAGGCGTCCCTGTGCCACCGATGGGCGGGCCAGGGGAGGACACGCGCCAGTCCATACGCTGTCCGTTTCACCCCAAAAGCGGCGCAAACTTGGGCCAGGGATAGGTCGAAAGCGGACAAAAAATAAACAAAAATTCGTTTGCGTCCGTGCGTTGGGCCGTCTGGTTTGTCCGTTTTACCCCAAACGAACGGGGCTGGACGGGATGCCCGTCCAGACGGGATGGGGCCGCGCGCTGGAGTTGGCCTAAGGCCCACGTGATCATCTGGCTTCACTGTGGTTAGCTGACAGTGATCCACACATCCAGGACAAGAACGATGGTCCTTCACAGATTAAAAGAGACGATCCACAAAAAGAGAAGCTCAACATGACAACGTATACATAATCTCAAAGTCATACTCCCTCCGTTCCACTATATAGTGCGCATGGTTTCAGGCACATATACCAATCAGTGACCTGGCGCTTAATTTTGGACGCTGTTACCCCCGCTTGTCTTGCCTCCAGCCCGCGTGCATGTGGGCGTACTTTCTGATCAGTGGAAAGCCAAACCAGTAGGCCACCACAGGACCATCACGCGCCACCGCAGGGATAGCAAACCGCGCGAGATACTACGGCGGGATCCGCGGCTGCGACTTAGCGGCGGCGGGATCCGCGGCTGCGGCGGTGACCTAGACAACCTCGCCATCTCTCCACCGGCTCGCCCTGGCCGTCATAAATCACGAAGAAGTCTTGGCGGCCGCTGCCCTTGTCCCTTCCTCCGCGCGCGACCGGAAGGACGGTGTCGACACGGCCCACACCTCGAGCTCCTGCTGCTCCCCCTCCTCCTCTGCCGCTTAGGAGGTGGCCGTGGCCTCTAGATCTGGGGATAGAAGAAGGGGCCGTGGTGGCCTGCAGCGGACGGGATCGACTTGGGAGTACTAGTCCACTTGATGTGGCTGGCAGCGGAGATGTTTGCCAGGGATTCGACGGACACGGGGATGCCAATAGCCGACGCAACGACGCCGGAGGCCGGCCGTGGACGCGAAGATGCCGGCAGTTGACACGGAGATGCCAGAGACGCCGGATGCGGACGCGGCGATGCCGGAGAGGCCGGGCGCCAGCAGCGGACGCGAAGATGCCAGAGTCGGCAGAGGACGCGGAGACACCGGCTTCCTGCTGCTCCCCCTCCGCGTCTGCCGCCGCGGGTCGATTCCCGCTGCCACCGGTCCAATCCGTTTGTCCTGGAGGAAGGGGATACATGCTAACGTTGCGTGTGTGCCTGTGCCGCTGCGGGGTTAGTTTCATCCAAAAGAGCCCAAAGTAGCTAATGCGCACTACATTTCAAAATAATACCAAAAAATCTATGCGCACTACATAGAGGAACGGAGGGAGTACACTCTTATACTCCTGTTTGGAATCGATAAAACAAAAGCTGGGAATAATATTCCCTGCAAAACCTTAAAAAGAAAGAAAACTAGATGGCAAACCGGACATTCCATCGGAATATGTCAAACTTC